AAAAGTTTAGATTTAATATTGCATTTTCACAAAACTATATATTTTTAAGATATGCTATCCCTACACGTCTCATCATGGTAAATTTTTAAAATGTATAGTTTTGCAAGAAAATCGATCATCCATCTGTAGTTTTGTGAAAAAAAACATGACATCAAATTTGTAGTTTTGAGATATAATGATTTAAATCTATAATTTTTTGATAAATATATTCTTAAATTTGTAGTTTAGTGATAATTTTATCAAAGTATATGTAGTTTTGCAAAATTTACTCAATATATTAATTCCTTGTTGATGCATAAGTTACTACTCTTAACTTTTTGACAGAAGGGATTTTAACCCTACTTAGTTTTGGTACTAAAATTGTACTGGTAATTTTTCAAACTTCTACTCTTTTTTTATGTTGGTCTTCGTGTCCATAACCAACACCAACAGAGAAACTTTCTTGGATGACCTTCTCTTATTTTTGTATGAAATTCTCACGGACATTAACCAACAACTGACTTCAAAATAGATGACGTGAATATTTATATGAGCGTCAGTCTTTGCTTTTGTACCAAACTTATGAAAAATAAAATTAAACTAAATAACTTTTCTGAGGAGGAAGGGAGGGGCCACATAAACTTATTTACAAAAATATACTACTACACGTTTATATCTCATTACCTTCACAGAAAAAAAAATACTACTACACGTTTATATCTCAAGGAGAGATGTAAACAGATACTCTGTTTTAAGCAAATACGACGATCATAAGGGATTTTACTTAATAGAACACAACGATGACAAATGACAGTGAAGAGCGGAGAAGCAATAGGCCTGTAAAGGAGTAGAGTGCTGGCGGTTGATGGAATATCTAAAAACTATAAACAAAACCCCAAATAGAATCCCAATGCTGATCAAGAGGAGTGACGACAGGCATGCCGTTAAGTAACATGGTCACGACGGTTGGCGGGACTTATGGAGAGTAAAAATAAACTCTAATAATAATTATGTTCGATTTTTAAAATTTCAATGACAATATGGAGGTGAGGCAGCAGGCGGGCTGTAGAGGAGTATAGTGTCAAAGCCACTAACGATTTGGCGAGACTTATAGAAAGTAAAAAAGAACACAAACAATAGTTATGTACTTATGTTCGATTTCTAAAATCTCAATGATAATAAAGAGATGTGGTAGCGGACATGCCGTAGAGTAGTAAATTGGAGATGTTTGATGATACTTCTAAAAATTATGAAAACGAAACCCAACAAAACAATGAACTCTAAAAGCTATAAGACCTAATTTTTAAAGTTCTAGAGAGGATGAATAGAAATAATGGTAGATCGAGTAAGCAAATAAAAAGTAACAAAGGAGTAAGGGGTAGCGACTGACGTGGCTTTTAAAAACTATAAAATTATTAGAATCATGGGAATGATAATTTTAAATAAAATCATGTGTAAAAAATAGATAATTTTAAATTGATACTAGCTGCGCAATTGCGCGGGCCGCCCACTAGGTGATATATCTAAACCATTGATATATCTATCTATCTATTATATTATTAAAATAGCCTTGAAAGAAGACATCACGTTCGTGGAGGCTAGAAATTCCCACCTTAATCGAAAAAAGAAAAGAGAGTACATAAAGGAATACAATTTAGAAATATCTAAAATTCGGAATTAAAAATAAGCAATATCGAAAGAAGAGTCCAGATAAGAACCAAATACGAGATTAATTAAAATTCTGAATAAAAATAAAATAAATTCTGAAATTATAAAAAAAGAAAAGAAAAGTTCAAGTAAAAATTCAATTTAAAAATAACTGAAATTCGAAATTAAAATAAGCAATATTGAAAGTATAAGAACACAATACGATATTAAAAAAATTCGGAATAAAAAATAAAATAAAATCCAAAACTAGAAATATAAAAAAGAGAGTTCAAATAAGTATGCAATTTTGAAACAACTGAAATTAGAAATAAAAAATAATAAATATTAAAAGAATAATCATATAAAACACAATACGAGATTAATTAAAATTCAAAATAAAAAATAAAATGAATTCTGAAATTATAAAAGAAAAATAAGAGTTCAACAAGGAATACAATTTATAAATAGCGAAAATTCGTAATAGAAAATAAAGACTAATAAAAGAAACGACCATCTAGAACGCATGACGAGATTAAAAATAGATAATTTTATATGAATACTAGCCGCGCAATTACTCGGGCCACCCAGCTAGTTAACCTGAAAGTATACCTACTTAATAGAATTATAGCATGATATGTTAGGAACAGAAACAGCTGGCTTCAAAATATTTATATGAGCATCAGTCTTTGTTTTCCGTACCAAACTTATGAAAAAATAAAATTGAACTAAACAACTTTTCTGAGGAGGAAGGTAGGGGCCACGTGAACTTATTTACAAAAATATACTACTCCACGTTTAAGAGGAAACTTAGATTCAGGCGCCCGATGGTTTGGGGGAAAAATCGGGCGCTGACGTCAGCATGACGCATGCAAGAAAAACATTTTAAACTATTTTTTCTCTTAAATTATTTATCCAAATCATGATCCGCTTGCACCATTAAATTCGTTACAATTGAATCTTTAAAACAAGACCACACATGGATATATTCTGTTGAAATTTTTTTTAGCTTATTATTGAATTATTTTTAAATGTCGCACGATGTTCCACCAGGTATATCGGTGTTGTTTCACTAAGTAGATCGAAAATGTTTCAATCGTTTAAACCAGACGTTGTTTTACCTTATATAAAAATAATGTTTTAGCAAATAGCGAAATAATGTTTCACTTCACTGCAACATTTGATCCATACATAGTGAAATATTATAAGTACACTAGGTGAAATATTTTTGGTGGAACAAAAAATGAAACGAATTCCCTTAATAGAGCATTTTCAAAAATATGTGGGTGATTTGTTACAAAAGAATGTTTCAATTCACTACAACATTAGATCTATAAATAGTGAAACATTATGAATACACTAGGTGAAATATTTTTTGTGGAACAAAAAATGAAACGAATTCCCTTAATAGAGGGTTTCTAAAATATATGGGTGATTTGTTGCAAAAGAATGTTTCAATTCACTACAAACATTAGATCTATACATAGTGAAACATTTTTTTGTGAAGACACGTGGCAGGTGGGGGCAGAGACCATGGTGGGGCCCAGGCGTCACGTGTCACGCGCGTGGGGGGGGGAGCGCTCGATTTTTTCTCCCCCCACCGGTCCACCGATCGCTGGCATTCTCCCTTTTAAAACCTCTCATCGCAAGGAACGGAACGGAACGGGCTCGCACCGCACGCACGCACGCTCGCTCGATCGTCGATGGGAAACGAGTGATGCGTGAGGAAGGGGCGTCGCACCAACGGAAACGGAAAAGAAGGGGGCCTAAATTTACTGGAGGCAGAGGCAATAGAAGAAGGATGGTAGCGGATATGAGTGGTTAAAATTAGGATCCCAGAGGATTGTGGGAGGCAACTTAGAATCGGTCGCCCGATGGGGAGGGGGAAAAATCGAGCGCTGATATTAGCATGACGCATGCGTGCAAAAACACTTTTAACTATTTTTTTCTCTTAAATTATTTATCCAAATCATGATCCGATTACACCATTAAATTCATTGCAATTAAATCTTCAAAACAAGACTACACATGGATATATTCCGACGAATTTTTTAGCTTATTATTGAATTATTTTTAAATGTTGCACGATGTTCCACCAAGTATATCGGAATTGTTTCACTAAGTAGATCGAAAATGTTTCAATCGTTTAAATCGGGCGTTGTTTCACCTTATATAAAAACAATGTTTCAGCAAATAGAGAAATAATGTTTCAGTTCACTGCAACATTAGATCTCTCTACATAGTGAAACATTGTAAGTGCACTAGGTGAAATATTTTTGGTGGAAAAAAATGAAATGTATTCCCTTAGTATAGGGTTTCTAAAATATGTGGGTGATTTGTTGCAAAAGAATATTTTGGTTCACTGTAACATTAGATCTATACATAGTGAAACATTATGAGTGCACTAGATGAAACATTTTTTATAGAATAAAAAATAAAACGAATTCCCTTAATATAGAGTTTCCAAAATATGTGGGTGATTTGTTGCAACGGCGTATATGCTAAGGTGAGGCGGCGTGTGAGCTGGAGGCGACGGCATGCGAGTGAGGCGCGGGCGCCCGAGGCGGCCGATTTTTTCTACTGGTGTCGGGCGCCCATATATTCTTAAATTTGTAGTTTCGTGATAATTTTTATCAAAGTATGTGTAGATTTGCAAAATTTACTCAATATATTAATTCCTTGTTGATGCATAAGTTAGTACTCTTTTAACTTTTTGAGAGAAGAGATTTCAACCCTACTTGTTCTTGGTAGTTTTGGTACTTAAATTGTACTGGTAATTTTTCAAGCATTTACTCTTTTTTTTATGTTGGTCTTCGTGTCCGTAACCAACAGAGAAACTTTCTTGGATGTAACTTTGTCATATTTTTATATAAAATTCTCACGGACATTAACCTGAAAGTACACCTACTTAATAGAATTATAACACGATAATGTTAGGAACAGAAACAGCCGGCTTCAAAATAGATGACTTCAAAATATTTATATGAGCGTCAATATTTTGCTTTCTGTACTAAACTTATGCAAAAATAAAATTGAACTAAACAACTTTTCTAAGGAGGAAGGTAGGGACCACATAAACTTATTTACAAAAATATACTACTCCACGTTTATATCTCATTAACTTCACAGAAATGAGATAAAAGGAAAGATGTAAGCAGATACTCTGTTTTAAGCAAATACGACGATAAAAGGGATTTTTCAGTTTTTTGCAATACGACGATCAAATTAGAACGGTGGGAGTAGATTTGAATACGTCATACAATGTTAATTAAGCTCTTTGCTTAAAAGCACCACAAATCCTGAAGCAATAATCCAAGCGGAGCGATGCTTTTGGAATTCATTTAACTTTTGAATTAATAGGATGAGTCCAAAAAGAATTTGCAAAAGAAACCAGGAAAAATAGCTGATCTGAACTGCATTTTACAGCACGGAAAAAACTGCGTTTTCACCTTCATCGCTCGTTCTTCCTCTGCAATGTTCAGTCACTATTTGACAATGGATACATGCATCACGGAAAGAACAAACATTACACTAACTTGGTTGCACCCACGTGAATTCATCAATTCAAACAAAACGAACTCAAAAACTGTTCAGAGCGAAACGAACATTTCCCTCAAAATTTTCAGCACTACTCACGCATCACCATCTTCCTCGCCCTCCCCTTCGGCACGACGAGCATCATCATCGCCTTCTCTCTCTTGGCCCTCCGGTGATCAACGATGACATGCGGCGGCACGAAGACATGACTGCCAACGAAGAAGCTTCCGCCACCGGCGCCGGCGAGGGTCTGGCCGAATTTGCTGAATCCCGCCGGTGCTCTCGCGCCTTTCGCACCGGCAGAGCTGACCTTCCGGGCGGGGATGTCGATAGGGGAAGAAGCTTTCTGCCGGTTGCCATGCTGCTTCACGGAGCGGTGCTCGTCGTCGTCCTCGTCGGCGTCGACGAGAGAGTAGTACATCTGGGGAAAATCCAGGTCTTGTGCTGCATCTGGCCATAGGATATCTGCCTCTTGGAATTCCTCTTTGTCCAGCTGCTGCTGCTCAATGCGTAGCATCTTCTTGCTTGGGGTGTAACTAGAATTAGGAGAGGATAAGCACGTATTAAGTAGTACTAGTAATATGTACACACAGCTCGAGTGAGTGAGCGACCAGTCATATATTTTGCGTGTCGTGATTTAATAATAGTTGGGGAGGGCTAGAAGTTATTACTGCCCAAGTGCCCATAGATATCTTGGCTGTCTGAATGCGTCATTCCTGAACTACATCATGCGAGTCACAGTTACTGAATCAGCAGCAAGTCAGCAACGTGTACACGTACGCGGGTACAAATTACCCCGTAATTAACCACAACTTGCATTATATTTTTTGACAATCATTCGTTAGTCTCATCGATACGTTTGCAGCCATCAACAGACATATATATATTCACCTCACATTTCGAACCAATTTTACAAAATGTCATCGAGGAAAATGTCTCGCAGATATGACATAATAAACCAACTAATTAATCTGGTCGCGTGACCATTTCGGCCAGGCCAAGTCTCGCGCGCGCGCGCATGGCCGCCCGCCGCCCGCGCGGCGCGCTAGCTCTCGATGAAGCCGGTCATGCGGAGGACGGAGTCGCGCACGCGGCGGAGGTCCCGGCCCTTGAGCGTCCGCCCCTGCCCCGAGCACATCGAGAACGCCGCCCTGCGCCGCGCCAGCAGCACGTGCGGCGGCACCACCTCGCCGCCGCAGCCGCTGCCGCTGCCGCCGTAGTCACCCTCCCCGTACTCCGTGTCCTCCCGCCTCGCCGTCGCCGCGCCCGAGGGCGCCGGGATCTCGATCGGGTCCGTGAACGGACGCCGCTCCTCCGCCCACGACGCGGCGGCGCATTTCGCCGACACGGCCACGCTCCGCTGCGACGCCGCCATATCGCTCGCCGATCGATCACTCCGCGGTTACAAGCAGCTAGTATCAGCGCTATGAGCAGGAGCGGAAACAGATGCGACAAACTATCGCACGCGCGCCTGTCGAAATCTCTAGCCAACCTTTCGCCGCAGCTGGTGCGGCGAGGCGAGAGATTTATAGGAGACGGCGCGAGAGCGAGCTGGCGCGGCGAGCGGGGCAACCAAGCTATCCTGCCCATAGGCGCCCTAGGTAGGCAGGTGCCGTGTGGAGCTGCACCGCTTTGTGTGACAGAGAAGTATGCGGCTTTGAGCTTTGACGGGGAAGGGAAGGAATAATTCCATTGATCAGGCTGGAGAGATTAACCCCTAACTCAGCTTAGATCAAATGCCTTTGCGCTAATTCATCGCCAACTAATGCGAATCATTTTGCTTTCTGAACCAAAAACTATTGCAAAAAGTAGCCGATTGGCATTGGCTTTCGGTACGGTTCAGGTTCAGACGCTCTTAGTTTTTTATCGCTTCGTCGCCTCTATTGTTTGGTTGCATAACGGCGCAAGTTTACTGAACCGCGCGTGCTACCAAGGTGCTTAATTAATTGAAAGATAAATCAATAATCTCGTGTGCCTTGTTGAGATCCCATGTGTTTGTCGTAACGCAAAGAAAGCCAGTACACTCCTGCTCCCGCGATGTTAGCTGATGATTGGTTTAGTGATCTGATCCGAAGTGTTTGATTTCGTGATTACACCGTATTCCCACGTGTATATATATGCATCTGCGCTGCATATGCACGTTATGATGATGCACACTGATGCAGACGCCTCGAGAGAAGGATTTGCACGCGCGGCACTGCGTGGTGCGTGCACAACTACACACTCCCATATTGGCCCCCCCAAAGAAAATGTCATGTGTTGCACTCAACCGCCAAAACTGTGACCTAACTGGTATTCTTTAGATGCGCGGATTGGTTAGAGGAAGCTAGGTATCCCTTGTTTGGAAAATTGCACATGGCTATAAGCCTATTCGATGTCTGGCACGAGTGTACTGTGCACGGTTTTCATGCCAAAGTTCACTTCACCGACCGAAATGAGAGCTTTTGCTAGCGTGGTGCTTTCAGTCTTTCAGCTATGGCCTAGGGTCGATCGATATGTATAGCTTATAACTGACAAAGGGACCGGTATTGAAAGGGAAAAAAAATCTACAGCTGAAATCGTCTCATCTCCATTATTAATGTGTTAAACTCTCCTTAGAATAAGGGAGGCAAAATTGTTTATTTACTATTTATATGCAACCTAATAAAATGATTTCAGTGGCGTGTCATACGGACGTACAACGACAGTTAATTATGAGTAACCAAGCAACAGGCGCCAGCTGCAGGTCAGATAGGTTGCATAACACAGCTAGATCTATAACTGCTACTTGTAGCATGCCAAACACGCAACTTTCTAATGAGCAGTTTGATTATGACAAGAACCATCAACCATACAGTTCACACTCGCCTGCCCATAACGAACTTAACGTACATAAACGGGTTTAAGTTAGGGATGGGAGCTAAACACGTCGATGTCTCAGACTGAAAAGCAAAAGCAAAAGTGTTGTGTCACGTTGCTTGACTCGATGGGCCGGTGTCGAGATTTTTAAGCTTCTGCACGTACGTTAATAGGCTTATCCGTCAGGGCATACGTGCATCCATAGATCGACACACGGAAGTGCATGCTTCTGCTGAAAATGCTTTTGTTTGATTATCCTCTCTTGCATGACACGCCCCTCCATTTCGTGGTTACATTGTATAACCCTGTTCATGAATTCAGATTGTGTCAGATCATTTGATCAGTACTGATCCCTAGTGATCATCTGGTCTTGTGGGAACGACTGAAATTAAAAGATCTGATAATGGGGCATATGCAGGGAGCATACTAATTAAGTCTGGCGATCAATGTTCAGCAAACCACTGATCAAGGGAACTGTAGGTTCTGGATAAACATGTCAAACAAATCCTCTGTCATTAACGCAAACGCGAAACGTGCATGCATCACGCGTGCCGTCGTTTTCGAGTACTTTATGTAGACAAGAACCAAGTTACACCAAAGCAGCCGATGAATTTTCAGCGTCTTATTACTCGCGAACGGACAAACCTAGCTACCCGACGGTCCGTACAGATGAACTCATCGATCGAATATCCTGCGATCCTGTTCTGTAAGTAGCTACGTGTCCCGCGTCGACGGGATTCTACCGTGGCAGCGATTCAACGCGCACGGTGTCGTGATGGCCTACGCTACCGCCGTGGATCATACACCTGTAACGCTTGTTGCAGCTTGGACGAGGGGACAGGGCAAATGGCGGATTGGCGCGCTCAGCCTGTGGTAATCTGCACGCCACAGGCACCGAGCGAGGAATGAGACGGTATTACTGCGTTTTGGATAAGGATATGGGTAAGGATTGACGTTGAATGATTGTTAGACAACAATGTTATGTCAAATTTGGAGCGGATTAGTTTTACAAGGATTTTGTGGGACATGGAATTTTGCTCTGAACACTTAAGTTTGCACTTTGCAGACAACGACACAACGTATACTACGGATCCTATCAAAGAGGGAAGAATATATATAAGTCGTGTTCGCTTTCTTTTCGCTGAATTTATCTGCCACAACATGGTTCCAGCCTTCCAGGCTTTCGGCTAGATTTCACTTCTTTCAAGCAATGCATCCTAAGCAGTAAAGAGTAATCAATCTAACCTAAGAATGAATCACGCGACAAGAACGACAAGAGGGCTCCTCACAACATGGACACCGTCGCTCCACGTATACGATCCCGCCACGAACTGCCCGTTTACACGCCAACCGCCTCTCCCTTTGGTGGCCTCGATCTTTATCCTGAACGACTTCTTCTCGCCGGTGCGCGCGAAGCTGAGGCTCCTCGGAGACACCTTCACCGAGACCCCCATCGGCTCGACCACGGCGACGCTGTAGCGGGCGCTGCCCTGGCCGACGTTGGTCACCGTCCGCTGCACGGTGACGGATCCGTTGAGGCCGTGGATGGCCAGGGACGGGTGGTTGAGCTGGTACGGCGGCGGCGGGGTCGCCGGGCAGGGGAGGGAGTGGTCGAGCTGCGCGCCGCCGCTGGCGCACGCGAAGAGGAGGTAGTCCTGGTACGACGCGTCGTAGACGAGGCCCGGGTCCAGCGCGTGCTTGGGCCTGATGTGGCCCGAGCCGTAGTCAATGGGCCCCGCGACCGTCCCGTCCGCATCCATCATTGGGCCGCCCTCCGCGTTGCTCGTTGTGGCTGCGAATCGAATCGATACATATGTACGTGCAAATGGGTTATAACGCCGGTGAGCGATGAACGGGGAAAGTTGAATTGTACTAGTCAGGACGAGACGTCACCGGTGGTCATGATGGCCGATCGGATCGCGGCGGAGCTCCAGCCCGGGTGGGCGGACTTGAGGAGGACGGCGGTGGCGGAGACGTGCGGGCACGACATGGATGTCCCCGACATGATGTTGTACTTGACGACGCGGTTGTCGCCGTCGAGCTTCGTCGGCGACGATGCCTCGCTCCACGCCGCCAGGATGTTCAGCCCCGGGGCCGTAACGTCAGGCTGCGTAATACACAGGCTAGCATCAGCTCATAGTCAATGTTTGCCGTAATCCGACACGGGCATTGAAACGATCGAGATGCACCTTGAGAATGTTGGGCTCATTCACGTTGGGGCCGCGCGACGAGAACTGCGCCATCACCGGCGACGGCTTGACGTCCACGACGGTCCTCGAGGGATCCAGCACCGCTGTCGGGCTCGAGCTGGAGTTGATGTAGCGGATGATGGCGTTAACGTCGACCGAGGAGACTGCGGTGCCCGGGAGCACATGCGCGTCGACGGGGACCTCGCCTCCGAACGCCGGCGGGTTGCCGAGGATAATGGCCGCGCCGCCCGCCAGCTTCACCTCCAGGCCCTTCTCCACCCTCAAGCCAGTACCCCTCAAGCACACGACGATCTTGCCCCGCACCTTCTCCGGCGCCAGCGATTTCGGCAGGCATTGGCTGCAACCATATCGTAGAAAACAGTAAGATCACATTGGATTTCAGAAAATGTGTTACTAATTCAGTTGGTTGTGAGTTGCTGTACTTGGAAACGTTAGCGGGAGTGCCGGGGACAACGGCGTCTGCTGCATAAACCAACGGATACGGCTTGTTGCCTGGTAGCTGGTACGGCGTCACAGTTTGACCCTGACACGCACGTACAACAAAAAGAACAAGTCAGGACAGATGAACAAGACAAATATTTGTTGGTGGACGTGCCACGAATAGTACGGTCGATGTTGCGTTTAGCAGGTAAGGAAATTTGTAGCGTGGTGTTTATTACCATGATCACCATGCCGTTGCCGAGCTTGATCGGCGAGATGAACGCGCGGTCGATGCTGCTCGCGGCGACCGTGAGCATCCACGGGGCGAGGTTCGACACGGTGGCCGGCTTGGGGCCGGAGTTCCCGCCGCTGCACACGAGCACCACGCCGCGCATCGCGGCGTGCAGCGCGCCCACCGCGATGCCGTCCTCCGCGAACGGCAGCGGCTTCCCCGTGGACCCGATGGAGACGCTCATCACGTCGACGCCGTCGCCGACCGCGTCGTCGATGGCGGCGAGCATGTCGGCCTCAAAGCAGGTGTTCTCGATGTTGGGGTTGGGCCCCGGGATGGGCCAGCACACCTTGTAGACGGCCACGCGGGCCAGCGGCGCCCCGCCCGAGGCCGTGCCCGGCGCGAACCCGCCGAGCGCCGCCACGCCGGGCACCGTGCGCCCCGCGACGGTGGACGCGGTGTGCGTGCCGTGGCCGTCGTGGTCGCGCGGCGAGCGGTACGCGTTCGTGGTGTTCACCGCGCCGTACCTGGCCTCGTACGCCTTGACGTAGTACCTCGCACCGATGATCTTCCTGCGTACACACGCATGTACAGTACGTACGTTGGCGCCAATCAGAATCAGGTCGTTTTACCACATCTACATTGTCTAACCTACGGATTAGTATTAGGCGAAGTTTAGTTCCAATTCTTTAAACTTTCAACTTTTCTATCACATCAAAATTTTTCTACACACCTAAACTTCCAATTTTTCTATCACATCGTTTTAATTTTATCTGAACTTCTAATTTTGATGTGAACTAAACATACCCTTAGTTTGATTAAACAAATGTGAACTGCGCATGAATCTTAGGTCGATCTGCAGAGCTCGCTGATGCCGAGGGAGGAACATTTGACAGGGATCTCGTTTGGGGCACGGTGCTAGGAAGGTGTCACGGGGTCACCACCTACCATGTTCTGATTCGTGCAGTTGCTTCAGAGGAAAACCTACTCTGCTGCAGAGGTTTGTACGTATGCTAAGGTCACGTCTCGGTGCCGTCCCGTTGTTTGTCTCGTTGCATGCATGGGTAGGGGTCAATGACAATCTGCAGTGACTCGAGAA